GGGAGACGGGCGGGCAGAGAGCGAGCTTCTCCTGGGTGCACGGGGCGCAGTGCATGGGCTGCAGGGCCACCCCGGCGGCGAGGCGGGGGCCCAGGAGCGCCGGCAGCAGGAGGGACGGCAGCCAGCAGCGGCGCAGCAGAGACCGCAGGCTACTCATGTCGCTGATGAGGAGGGACCACAGAGAGGGTAGCTCAGCAGGCTGAGGGACAGGAGGCAGTTTACATACATTCAGTTCGCCCGGGCCATTTATACAGTCCTTTGCCTGGCTATTAATCTTTAACCCCGAGTTAACTATTATCTGAACAGGAGGGCTGGAGAAGCATCATTTCACTGGTGGTTCAACTCCCTGACCACTCTTCCCCTCCCCTTTCACTTTCCCCCTTTATCTTTTTTCTTTCCTCCAGACATGCAGGAATGCTTTTATTCCCTTGCCCCCACCTTTCTGCCCTAGCACAGTTAACAAGGAAAAATGTGGCGGGGGTGGAGGAGAAACGGGCAGAGGGGAACGGATAAGTGGGGGGTATCCCCTCCCCTTTTGCCTGTCACAAATGTCTCCTGTCTCCTGTTCTTGACATTTGATAAAAATGTAAATGTTTAAAACAAAAAGGGAGGGGGGGAGGGGAGGAGGGAAATCCCATTGAAACTGAAGCAACTGACTTCATATTTCCACAGCAACAAATGCAACAAACCCTTGTTTAATTTTCGTCATGTGGTTGCAGGTTAGGAGGACGCTGACATACCAAAGAGGAGGCCCCAAGGGTAATAAAGCCATCAGGATCCTGTAACCACTGCACGCATGCACGTAGGAGTCCTTGCATTAACCTCCGGGAGGGGCTGCGCAGCTGAAGCTGGAGGGATCTCCCGCGTCTGGGCTCAGTTTTGCTGTTGCTGCTGGGATGAGACGAGTATCAGTCCTCAAAACATGCACTTGGGGGAAACAGTGTTTGTCAAACAGTCCAGAAATAAATGAGATATCTGCTTTTCTGTCTGTCCTGTTACCTTCTCCATCTCCTCATATATCACCTGGCGGGGGGGAAATCTTTCTTTTTCTCCTTTACATGCAACGGTTGTCACTACAATAAAAGCAGAAGTATTTAAACCTCACTGTGCTGAACAGATTATTTTATCCTGGTATTTGCAGTATGTACTGAGCTTGAAATAGCAAATTCCACTGTCAAGTCATCTAATGTAGCATGATTTTTGTTTGGTTGTTTTTTTTGCATTTAGTTCTCCTCTTTTGTAAATACATCATTTGTGTGAAAGAAAGTTGAAGCAGAAGCGCAGAGCATTGTTTAACGTTCTATTATTCGCTCTTCTTTTTCTGGTATTGATGCCAAAGTTTTTATTTATAATGTAGTACATTTTTAAACCCCTATATTCATAATTCAGTTCATAAAAGTATTCTTATTGGTTACAGACTTTTACAACTTGAGACATTTTCACTTAAATACTTCATCTAATTTTTTTTTTCTAAATTCAGGTTGGTTTAGGGATGTCTATTTGGATACACAAAAGATGGCAGCCCTTAAAACTCACTAACATTTTTAAGCATTTTAAACAGAACTAATTTTACAGATTTTAAGAGAATTCTGTGGACTTCACGTGTCTGACTAGGAGCAAATTTTGGCTGAAAACCTAGGGCATGACAATTTTTACATCGCAATTAGACTTTTCAAGCTCTAATGCTCTTTTCCCCCTTTCATTTCTAATTTTTTCTTGTGAATCTCTTAGAAAAGCACAATTCTCTTACCATTCAGTAGGAAGTGAAAAAAATACAGAAATATGTCTTCTTTCCTCCCTCAAAGAGAAAAAGAAAACAATGCAAAACAAAGTCCCCTTCATGAAGAAACATGAAAAAAAATTACAAATGAAAAGTAGACCCAGTTGTAAAATGACAAAGACCCAAAGAGCTCATATGCATTTGTATATGTCTATGCATGTATTCATTCACTTATCTATGTATGTCTCTCTGCTGTGCTAGATAGCTTTGTATGAACAGAATTGAGGATCATTCTACTACTGACTGCTTAACATAAGCTACTTGCCCCTGAAATGACTGTACTCCAGAGTGACTGCCACTGTCCTGCCTGTGCTTTTTCTGTCTTTAAAAAAAAAGGATGTGAACTGAGAGGAAATAGCTTTTAATGATACACGTGAAATGTTTTTAAAAATGATTTTTTAACTCATCACCATCATTTTTAAGTAACTAGATGAAGACAGACACTTAATGCAAGAACAGACTCCTTGCCTGATGTACAGGCCTACGTCACAAAACTTCCATTAGTTTCAGAAGAAACTCATTCTTCCAAAGCACCATCATGTTTTCAGGTCTTTGGTATGTTTTTCCTTGCTGTGGGTCAGCTGGCAGTATCTGAACTGCCCAGGCAATTCCTGACAACTGGCAGCCTTTTCGAAGGCAGATTTTTTCAGTTTACCCAGTAAGATAAACAAAAGATAACAAAAAAACCCCACCGTAGATTATAAAACATTTTGAAGGTGTTTTTGTTTTGTTTCCTTTATGATTTCAGGTCAACTCCAAATGATGACCCAACCTATTTTCCCTTGCCATCTTTTGTACAATCAAACTGAGGAAACCTAAAACTCTGCTAAAGCAGACTTTGTGAGCAGATGTTCTTCTGCACAAAAGGTAGACCCATAAAAATCAGTCCCTTCATATTTCATTTATATAAATGTAATGAACATAGATTAGAACAGGTTATGATAACTTAGGGCAGTATCAATCAACAAGGCAATGCTTTTGTATAGGCCATGGGACAGCAATGAAGTGAAAGTAGTGTATATGTTTATGTAGGCTCTGTTTGATGTAATACTACAACTCATCTACCAATCTCCATCTCTGACCCTGACATTGCTTTAAAGAACACAAACAGATAAGAGTCAGGAGGTTAAAAACTTCCATGATGTAAAGTTGTGTTTACTGAAGACTTTTGACGGTAATTTTTAGGTGTTCCAACTGTTGTCCCCTAATTTCAACCACTTGTCAAAAAACACCACATGAATCCTAGGCAAGGGTTACTTTTCTACAAGACTTTTCCTATTGGTTTCTCAATAATTCTTAGCCAATGACCTCATTTTGCATGTTAAATAAAGTTTTGGATTTTTTTTTCTTTAAAGCCACATGGAGTGACTCATAGAACATAAAGTTTTATATAAGTTTGTGTACAAGCGATCTTTATCCTTTAATCACCAAAAATTCAAGTGACTTGCCAAATAATTTCTTACTGGGACTGCTTCTCTGGATATGTTTAAAAAAAAACCCAAACAACCAGTGGAATATCCTCATTATTTTTCTTTAGGTAAGAAACTAATCCTGAATTGTAAGCTTAATATCCAAAACTACTATGTGATACACATATACACACACACATATATATGGCATCAAGCATATGAAGAGAAACAGCTATGATAGAAATACAAATAAACTAGTCCCTTCCCTGTCATTTGTCCCCTATCAAAAATGCTTTATTTCAGCTCTATGGATTATTAAGAATTTTTTATCCAAGTAATTGACAGTGCTTAGGTTATTGATGAATAATTTGATTCAAGCATTTATTGATTGATTGTTGTCACTTTGCAGCAACGACCTATATGCCATTTGGTATTATTTTTCTATTCTGGTTGGGTAAGCATGACTTTTAGAATTAGAATCTGGATGCAGGTAATGAGGTGTTCCAAGTTTGTGTTGCACTAATATTCTCTAACTTTTGCAGACTGACTTTTGCTATTTCTTTTCTCCAGAAATTAATTTTGCTAGAATGTGGAAAATATTTTATAAATACCTAAAACTAAACCTGCAGAAACTCTAGTAAGAGACGAAAAGTGAGAGGCTTTCTCATGGCATCTGTAGCTAGGGAAGCCTATGGACTTTCTGCATCAAATCATGGGTCATCAGGTTCAAAAAAAGAGAGGAAAAAGTAATTTATTTCCTTGGTGGCACCCAAAGTGTTTGGGCACTGAGTAAAACACCTTGTTCACAGTGTTGTGCGTGCATAGACCAGCCAGATAATTATTTTCTAAGAACTATTGAGCTCTTCTGGCAAGACAGGTTAAAGTCCTCCTTTAGTCGTCCTACCATGGGCCAGCTGCTCCATGCAGTGATGGCACAAGTGTGAGTTTACGTAGCTGGAGAAATAATCCAGAAACACTTTGACAAGAGGTAAAGCTGAAAGCATGCTGCAGAGTGTGAGTTCCTGTGTGAAGAGATAATATGAAAAAGCTTCTGCTTTATCCATTCTGCTGTAGTCAGCATTACTAACCCCAGGTAGGGGTATTCCCTGAGACCAGCTATGGAAATGAAGGCTTTTCAGTGCCTACCAGAGTGAGCTATGGCTTAGCAGTGACTTTGAAAAATGTAAATGAACCCTTTAGCACTGGCTCCAGGCACCTAAACTAGCATCAGCTGTTTAAATCTCTCTGTATTCTTCAGCCACTGTGTCTCTCTGGGCCCAGTAACAGAAAAGAGCATCACCAACCAAGTAATGTGCCCTTTACTGCAGTCCCTGAGGGCTGCAGGCACTGATGACATGAGTCTCCAGCCTTCACCACCATTAGGTTTACTTTCTTAAGTGGTTGGCTGTCTTATGCTGATAAAGGAAAAAGTAAATTCCCCAGAGATTTACTCTAAAAGCAATTTAAATATAATAGGGCTTTCAAATACATATTAAGGCATCTCATGTGAAGGACAGTTTGAGACAGTAACAGGTGGCTACTGCTTACTTTAATGTCTGGGTCTGTCACATGGGTTAAATGCCAGGATGCACATGAAACTCCCCTTTCCTCCCCAAACTAATACATGGCTTTCCAGTCACAAGCTTTTTCACATGCAGTAGGGAGAAAAGTAGGCAGTACTGATGGAGAAAAAGTGAGATCCAGCCCCAGACCAGGGGCATCACAGTCACAGCCTGTTACACAACTTAGGGGAAAAGTGTCTGTGGGACAACAGCCAACAATAATTCATTTATATCGGTTTATACCTTATCAAATGCAACAGGGGATATTCTCTTTCACAGTGGAGAGGCTGGATTTTTAAAGGAGCTTACTTGCTAACCCAAAAATGGAGGAGCCCCTGATGTTTCAAATTCCTGCTCTTTTCTTCTGAGGCTTCATGGAGGCTTTTCTCCTCCATGAGTATCTTTG